GTTTATAGAAAATAAGAAAACTGAGTTTGTCATGATAATGCAAGAGGGCTTGGCTCCCGGGGGGGAACTCCGCATATGAAAGGGGTGGGGATGCTCGTCGGAAATTTTGAATCAAACCCCTAAAGGAGACCGATCTGGGCGTGGCCCAAGCTTTTTCTTGACCACTAAAAGAGACCATGTTAAAACACAGACAATATATATATATTTTTATATTTTTTCGCGTGCAACCCTAAACAAGACCTTCACGGCTAAATATGATGGCGTTTTGCCCAGAACACCCTAAGTGAGACGAAAATCCGGAATTTACACCCTTAAGCGAGACGACGAGCATCCCCACCCCTTTCATATGCGGAGTCCCTCCCCCGGGGCTTGGCTGCTCCTACCAATTTCCCATATACAGGGGAACCTCGATTTAACGAAGGGCCGAAGGGACGGACGAAATTTGTTCGCTTTCACGAGGTTTCGTTAGATGGAGATTCTGTTTAATATGTTTTACTTCTATTTGAGTAAGAAAATCGTCCGTTATGTCGAGGACTTCGTAATGCAGAGGTTTGTTAAATCGAGGTTCCACTGTACAGAGTAGAGCATGTAGGAATAAAAATCCAACTGGCAGGGGATAACCAACTGGCTACAATCGGCGACAAAATTGTTGAGACATATATATATATTATATTTCCTCCTTTTGAAGTTAATAAAACGTAAAAAAGCCCAGTTTTGGGCGAAGTGTCTCAACTCATTTTGTCGCCGATTGTAGCTATTTACAAGCATAGTCGAGTAGATGAAGGTTGATCGACCGAAGAACATTCTAATCACCGATAGTGGCGGAATGGCTATTAAATTGCTATGACATTCTAGTCCCCCGCCAAGCCGTAACCACTCGGCCATTATGTGTAATTGTCAAAGTAATATAAAATTCAGATCAATGTCACTGATTCTCGACTGTACATCTAGCAGTTATAATTCGATCAGAGTGTGGAAATTCCGCTTGTCTGCATTAGGAAATGACCAACATTTAGATCTCCAGCGTTTTTTCTTTAATTATATTGCCCCTTGATCGTTTCCTATTATATCTCAGTATGTACGCGCCCAGGGGAGGTGCTGCGGAGTCGCAAGTGACGCTACGGGGATGATCGAAGGATTTTTTGGCTTTGAAATTTTCGATTCCGGGATTTTTTTGCGTATAAAAATTTGGCAAGTATGTTTTTGATGGTTTGATTTAAGCAGGGATTGTTTTGTGTACTCAAAACAATCTATTTTTGGTGGTGACTGCGTATTCTGGCGTCTCATGAACAATATATGAAAACAAAACATTCAAGTAAAGAGGCCTTCTTCCTCATAGTACGAGGCTCCTGATCTAAATCAAGAATAAAGAATGGAACTAAAAACACAACCAACTTAAAAACGGTCTTCCTCATCTAGCAATCTCACAGGAAATGTAAGGAAAACAACCTGAAGAATATTGGTCACAGTGTGGGTTAACCCTTTCGGGTCCAATATACCTATTAGTTTAGAAAAGACCAAAGCATTCCCCCTTATCAATTCTCATTTCCCCGTCTTCCGATTATGTATTGATATTCTTAGGAGCAAGTTCACTTGATGTTGGTCACTCAAGGAACTTAAAGGTCCTCATCCTTGATGGGTGACGGATCAGTATAAAATTATTATATTGACAGTACATTGCTTCAAATCTCGCTCGTGCTTGCATGCAACAAAAACCTGTTTAACTACAATCCGCTAACCGTTCCTTTCTTGCATTGGAGAATGCTTATTAGCCTAACTATACCATCAAGGTGTAAAATGGAAAATAATAGTCAATTTCCAAAGACGAATTGAAAGTCTGATTACCCACCTGGTGATATGGACTTTAAAGATTCAATATGAACAAAGTCGTACACGTGTCGTTACTGTATACAATATCTTGGCGATTAAAAGTAAATAAATATCCTACTTCAGCACAAAGCTTGAAAATTTATCTCCCATGTGTACTGATGAAAGAGGATTTTATATAACCGTCATTTTTTCTAAATTGTTTATTTAAGCTATATACATGTATCTCAAAGTACAATACAATAAACAGAGAGAGAGGGACGCAAGTTAAAATAAAAGAAGGGCAATAACAGGTACAAGAAGAGATAAGTACAAATGACAGGATATTACCAAAACAAATGTAACTTAAACACTAAGAAATATCAACTGAACATGCCGAAATTGTATGCAGCTAAAGGCTCAAGAATTCTCGAACGCGTGTGGGCTCTATAGTTAATTTGTTTTTCAGAATTAAAAGCTTTAAAGGCGGAGAAACCATACACTTCTCTTTGGCTAAGGTGAGAACGAGCAAATATCGGGCAAAGATTGAAGTGCGGAACTCTGAGCGTGTCTCAAAAAGATATTGATTTCGTGATTTTATTATTTTGGACTTTTTTCTTACACATCATTAGTTTTTCTTGGCTAGTTGACTCACCTGGTTCGGGGTCGCTGCTTGTGGTGAAGTTCGGAGGAAAAAAGCACTGGGTACAACTGGAAGTTTCATTTGGAAGTAGAAGACAATGCGGTATCAATTCATGCAAGTCAAAAGAATGCAACTCTTTCTTGCACTGTTTTAGGTATTCTGCGCACACTCTTCTGCAAGGGAAGATTGGATCTCCCAGAGAATTGCACTTTGGAGCAAAAAGTGAACACTCTATGGCCTCAACAAGGCCGCTTGCCGCACAGTTTTTACTCTTCATTATCTCGATAGTTTTTTTCATGTCGAGCGCATATTCTTCTTTACTCTCCTCTGTGGCATCTATCGGATACGGAACCATCGTTTCATAACCCGCTTCCTTGCAAATTTCAAATGGTGTGTTTAAAAGGCTTTCGCAGGGATCGCCGTCAGCACGGTGACATAGCAGAGGCGTAAAAAAGCATAGAAGACAGGAAACGATCAAAGCCTCGCTAAAATAAAACATGGCTGGCTCCTGACTTTTCTTCAGAACATTTGCGACGAAGGCTTATGTCTCTGAAGGGTGTAGCACTCAATATTTAAGCTTCTCTTGTACTATTCTTAGCTTGACTCATTTTGATATTCAAAGCTTTCCGCCATCGCAAGAAAGCCACTCCCTCTAAAAATGTCGTATATATCACTTACACAATACTCCTTTTAGAAACATCCATGCTATAGAGTGTTTCCTTTTACGGGGCCAGCATCTATGCAAATTTATTGGAACAAAAGAAAACGTTTGCATAAGAAAAGAGTTAAACTCCCACAGGATTGGTTTGGGACACCAACATGGCGGCCGTTTCATTGTTCTGGGACACCAATATGGCGTGACGTCATGTGAAAACACTCTACATTCCATCCATGCCGTTTGTATAGTACAGTATTGATACAGCAACAAGACCTCCGTTCACAAGGAGTGACTCGTTAAGGGTTTGAGTACACTGGAGAGAAACGAAACTACCAAAAAAACGAAATAATAATGTAAAAAATTAACTTTTAATCGTTATCTCCCATCAGATGCCAACTGCAAACTGAGAAAAAATTGTTGTTCATATCAGTGTTAAAGTTTCGTTAGTGCACATTTCCTTTAAGATATTGCCTTCACGAGCGTAACATTTCTTTTTAACTCTTTAAGCCCCAATATCCACAAACAAATTCTCCAAACTGATCTCCATACATTTCCTTGAAGAATTGGTTGAGAGAATTTGGTAAAAGATCAAATATTTTTCTCTTTGTGATCATTTTGTTAATTCTCATAGACTTTGCTCATGATGGTCTATGGATATCGTTAGGAGAAAATTAATTTTGAGCACTATTGGGACTTGAAGGGTTAATGAACTATTGTTTTTCTTGTATTTATGTAACATTCGTACTGCATTTTTTTACTTGACTAATGACGTCTGAAAACGTCGAAACGTCGATTATTTTTTAAATTTTTTAAAAATTTCTTTAAATTATGTTTTTAAGAAAAGATTTTTACGCAATTTCTTATTTGCATGACTATAAATATTGTTATTTATAGTATTGCAAAAGTTATTTATGGTGAAAAAGAAAAACAGTGGTATTTATCACAGATAATCTGGATAAAGAATTATAGCTGCATTGCTCTGAAATGAAAGCAGAAAATTTCTCTTAATAACCCTCTTCAGGGTTCATCAGTTTGAACCAACAGGTCCGCATGGCACCTGCTTAAAAATCAGGGGGATGAATCTGTATTTAACAGAAACTATACTTTTTAAGAGTAAAATATTTTGGGCAATGGATTAGAAAATGAATTTCATCTTCGATTTCATAGAACCTCCTCATAGGAATCACAATTTGAAAATGCTGACATAATTTTTTGTCGGGAGGAGTTTATTAATTCATGTCCCAATCTCGATCATAAGTCAGTATGGCTGCTTACGCATAATTTGTCAGCCTTCAGTGACAATTGTCTTTGCTAGTAAGGTCCGGTGTTATAGCTTGAAATTACATGCTTGGAAGTCATGGTAATTTCCTACCTTAGTATATTTAACAATAATGTCAATAAGCAATTATATTTCTGCGTTATATGTCTATGTTAATTAACTTTATAAACTGAATATTGCTTGGAAAAATAGAGAGAAATACGGCATTTAAATGAGAGAATACCCTGCGACTAATTAGCGTCTTCTGTATAGGGAAGTATTTAGTATCGCTTCATAGTAGAGCGTCAACTAAGGTGAAACCTGTAGGACTAAGGTTTAACTTTCCTGGTCTGGAGACAAAAAACGCAAACATTTAAATGAGAGTTTATTGAATTGAAACAAATAAGAAAAAAGCAAGTAGTATTTGTCTCAATATGCTTTAAAAGCAAAAATCAGATTGGGAGTGCCCTTGATTGTTTATTTTTCTCAATTTTTTGGTCCAGGACTTTTTTTCATGTATACACGTTTCCAAAGAGACCTTAAAGTAACCACAATCGAAAAATGATAACATTTAATTAAAATTTTGGAAGCAGATTATCTTAATCTAAGGAAACAAGTTTCAAAACCGCTCACTATTACGCAAGGCTTAGTGCAAATCCTTTGTTGTGAAAATGAGTTTTATTTGCTTGACAATATAAAATCATTTTCATTTCAATTGCTTCTCACTTAGCCTCGCTTTGAAACTGAGGCTTGAGGCAACTCGCAAATGGCCTATTCGGTACTGCTTACGTGTCCTGGCACTTCTGATTGGCTAAATCATTTTTCCTTCGCGGCAAGCGGACCAAACGGAAGTACTTCCCATGGCCGGGTTGTTCAAAGATGGGTTAAGATATCCCAGGATAACTGCGAAATTTGACTTCAGGTCTGAAAGCTTAAAAGGCAATTTCAGTTTTAAATAATTCTTTTTGTATACGATTTGATGATTGGATAGTCTAAAAAGAATCGAGAAAATTATCCCGGGACAAAGTTTTGTAACAGAAGAAAAAGAAACCGGGATTAATATTTAGCCCCGGGTTAGTGCAAATCGGCCTTGGAACAGCAGATCTGAGTCGTCACTAGTCTCCCTCGCAGCTGTTATTAGGGTCGTCACGCAATGCTTGACAACCCTAATAAAGGCTGGAAGAAGACTGAGTAGTGACACGTTATAAGTATCGAATTTCTACCCTCGTTCCTCAGACGTCGTAGGAGTTTACGCCTGGTTTCCGGGTTAGCAATTTTTTTGATTGATTGTTCTTATAAATGCTACCACCCTGTAAAGCCTTTTCAATGGGAAATAGGGCAATTGCACGATGACGATATTTGACCACAACGACCAGAATTCATTTCGGTTTTGCTTTGTTATTTAAATTTGTCAATTCCGCTGAGGACTAAAGAACAATAGCCTTAATTTGCACAAGAAAACAACAAACTCAAGGATCCTTCTAGTTGTAGTAAAATGACGTCATCGTGCAATTGTTCTATTGTCATCGATAGGGATAAACTGATTAACGCAAGAAGAAAGTTAGTCATTTCTTTTTACTGCGACTTTACTTCTAAAAATTTCACTTTGGAAGTGTTTTCTGTTAGATTGCTCCGGTAGCTATGGACCCGTCTTAAAAAAACTCAGAGTCACCAATGGGGAGTGCTAATGTAGTTGAGGCTAGAGTGATCTCGTATGACCCTTAAGTGATGATGCAAAAAAAAAACAACAACAATAAAACAAAACAAAAATAGGAAATGAAGGCAAAAAGATAGATTTGTTTGGGTAATCGAACAAATACACCACTTGCGATTCTTCGCTTTGACGTCATTCTACAGTTCAGCAATACGATTGGACAATCGAAAGATAACTTTTTTCAACTTAGTATTTTCTTTGGAGGGAAAACAACAAGTCCATGTTTCATGACGTATTTACCTATTGGCCGATAATTACCGATCACTTTTCAAGGTCATACGAAAATCACTCTAACGGAAGCATTTTGCGAAATCATGATAAAGATTGGAAGTCTCTAAAAGGAGAATTGCATCTAAAATGTTCTAATAAAACGGCTAATTAGGGACCTCAGAGGAGAGGATGTCCATGATCAAGAGAGTAATAGGTACCTTCATGCTCTCTTGCGGATCTCGTTGTGATACAGATTCTGCTGCAAGTACTTATTCACATTCCATACATGAGAAGGAGTGCGTCCTATTTCAGAAGCCCGGCAACAAAACCTCTCATTTTATTGGGCCCCTATAATACCTAGCAGTTCTTTCATTTGTTGACTCGGTTCCGTTTTTAATTTTATTCGTTCATTTTTCCCTCAAACTATCCTATGAGGCGCGTCTATCTGATTCCCTGATCTGACAGCTAAGTGAAACTATTAAGAGTGGACAGAAAAAGACTCAAAGCTCCATTGCCCCTTCCAGAGGAGCCATATCATCGTTTTGCTTTTGGTACCCTGTTTTCTTTCCAACGCTCCGCCATTTCCACCAGATAGCTCCTACCACAAAGAGGCCCACAATGATGACAGGAACCAAAATTGCTACTGCAATGATCCATGCTTTGGATTTGGAACCTTTGGTGGGAGAGGGTTCCTTTGTTGATCGGTTTTCTAACCCTGAAAGAGAAATTGAATAAAACTGAATTCTTCAGGTATAGAGCTACACCGTTTGCCGCTTAATTGAGCCCCCCAGTTAGTTGTATGCCCCCAAAACGCCATCCGATTGTAAAGGCCGATACACACGAGGAGTTTTGCTCCCAGAGCATGCTCCGGGCTAATTTCACACGTGTCAATACACACGAGGGAGCGTTTTCAAGTTCGCTCAATTTGCCCCGGGAGCTTGCTCCCAAATATTTAACCGCTTAAATATCGTGGAGCATTTTGCGGGGTGGAAATTCTGCTCCCGAAGATGAAGTATACCATGAAATCGTTGGTACACACGGAAGAGCTTTGCTCCCGGAGCGTGCCCCTAGAGCATGCTCCGGGAGCAAAATCCCTCGTGTGTATCGGCCTTAAGCCTCCCGCGCGCGAAGCCCCTCTCTAACTTGTATTGAAATAAATTCGATTCATTGTGAAGTTTTGAAGCTTAATTAAAAATCGGTAAAAGCAGAACGTATTTTTATCAGCACTGCTATAGCCTGTCTCGTAGCGTTTTTTTAATTTCTATTCCGGTTATAGGCCCCTCGGTTTACCGTATTTATTCCATTGAACGCCGAGGCGTTAATTAAATTTTTAGCGTTTGCAATGCGGCGTTTATTCGACGGCGGCGTTTATTTCGAAATCACCCTTTTTAAAATCACTGACAATAGTTATTGTTAGTCGTTTCTAAATGTTATGTAATTTAGAGGTTCCAGTGTCTCCCTTATTTTGCTGAGATAGAATCCTAGATGTCTGGATGGTGTAAATTACTAAGTTGTACCGAAGTTTGTCTTATTAGGGACCTTAAGATCCGAGGACGGCGACGGCAGAGAAAACGTCGCTGAAAAAGTAAATTCTTGTTCTTTCAATCTTCATCGCGATTACTCCAAGTCACTAACTTTTTCAAATGTAGGCGAACAATCCTAAAGTTGAATTCCTAAGAACCATAGCCAAGTGCAGAAAGAGAGAAGAAATTTCGTCGTCACTTGTGTACTTCCTTTGTACAACGTGAAATTAGGAATTTTCACGTCGTAGTTATGCAGTGACGGCAAACAAATGTACAAAAAAGCGAGATGAACGTGCAAAATTGTTGTTTTGCCAATTAAACCTATTGTTTTTTGACGTTCCCGTTGCCGTCGCTGTCGTCGGATCTTAAGGTCCCTATTATCCTGGAGTAAACGCCAGATTATTCTTTTTAGGTGCGGCGTTTATTCGAGGGCGGTAAATACGGTATAAGGCCTCCCAAAAACCCTTTCAAAGGGGCTTTCAAAGATGTATGTAGAGGAAATTACACTGTGGCGCGAAGATGTGAATTTTATTTTCGAGTGGCAAAACAATATTTTACTCACTCGCTGCGCTCGTTCGTAAAATATTGTTTTTGCAACGAGAAAATAAAATTCATATCTTCAAGCCGCCATGTAATGTTTTTTTTATTATATAGACAAAATGGCATCAATAAAATAATAGAGCGAAATTACCAAAATTACGTCATCGATAAACTCACGTGTGAGATTATCGAAAATAAACCACTCGGGTCCCGGATGTAGTTTTTATGAATTTTACGAGTGGTATATTTTCCAGTAAAACACTCGTGTCTATATAATAAAAGCCCAAAACTTATAAGCGGCATTTTACAGTACCTAATTTGTTCCTTATTTCCTACTGTCAGAGAATAATTACTCTGCAAACCCTACAAACGTAGATGTATTTCCGGTCGACCCTCACTGCCCGGGTGGAGAGTCAACCGATGACAGAACATACGTCAGTGCGTTCGCAGGAAGGAGAATAAACTAACCAGGAAGAAAGCGAACCCAGGAGAATGGAGATGGCCAGTCTGTACGTCGACAATAACCATGAGTGGTGGTTCCCTTGCTGGCAAAACTGCAGTATTCTGCATCGAAGTAATCGTTCCTGCAAATCAGATCACAAACAGACGGTCAGGTTAGGCTAGGTTCTAACACATAAGGGCCATTTATACGAGGAAAAATAAGACGCGAACTTTCCGTATAAACGGCACATTTCGTCTAAAATAAGACGCGGCTTAGCTAAGACGCGTCTTATTAGATAAGACATGTTCGTATAAATGGTACAGTTCGCGTCTTATTTAAGACGCGTCTTATGTAAGACGCGTCTTATTTTTCCTCGTATAAATGGCCCTAATATGTCTTACTGCCTTAGACGCTGTGTCGTTTAGGACGACCGCCCCATGTAAGTGAATCCAAGACAGTCTTGGATTCTGGATAGCAAGTCGTGGATTCCAGATTCCAGGTACCGGATTTCAGTCTTTGTCAGTGCAACTTGGATTCCGATTTCCATTCGATTCTGGATTACTTGAGCTGTATTCCTAGATCCAAAGACCAGGATTCCGGATTCCACAAAAAAAAATTTTCCGTAAACATGGGACGAAGGAGGAGCAACTGATCAAGATTGTTTGTAAGCGCCCAATATCGAATTAGAGCACGCGTCGAATAAGCGCCCATCCAAAAGGCTGAAAAAGTAAATAAGCGCCCAGCCTCGAATAAGCGCCCACCCCCTCGCCTGTCCACTTAAATTCAAATAAGCGCTCATCCCACCCCCACCCTACCCCCTTCCCTCTCCCACCCCGAAAACAAAAAAAATGAATAAGTACTAATAAGAGACTTTCCCGAAGTTCTTCAGAGTATTTTACAGAAACCTTGCATTGTTACATCTTCGCGTTTTGTAATTACCATTAATTGTTTTGTTGCAAAACAAACATACTACACTTGCTGAAAATAGTGAAAGTTTAATAAGCGCCCAGCCTTGAATAAGCGCCCACCTCTAATAAGCGCCCATTCTCAAGGTCCAAAAATTTAATAAGCGCCCATGGCGGTTTATCGAATAAATACGGTATCCATTTAACTCTGATTTCTGGCTGTTAACACCAAGGGAGCGAGTCATGACAAATGACCAAGGGCCCTTGGGGACACTCTACCGATACTTGATTGAAAATCAAGACATGCACCATCCTCAAAATCTTGGCGGTTCCTAAAAGCGTAGTAGTCTTCTGTAACAATGCAATTCTAATCTTAATCCTCAGGTTTTCAATTCAATCTATCGTCATGATTATTATTATTTCTATTATCATTATTAATGTATATTTATTTTACTTCGAGTACCTGAAGAAATGTGGGCAGACTTCTGTGATCTCATTACACACAGACTGGCAGATGGTGTAAAATCCGGGATCTTCGGGCCCTTCATCCGGGAAACAAGGCGGTAAGAAATCTCCACAATAAAGCTTCTTTAAGTTTTCCTTACACCCTGGATACTTCTTAAATTGTTTTTGTAGCATTGGAGGAAAATCGGTCTCCAAATCTTCTGCCTTGTACTCTTTATTGTATGCGGCCTTGTATAACCTCTTTTGTTGTTCAACAGATACAAGAGTGTGGTTGGATACGCCAAGATTCTTACACGCTGGAATAATCAGTTCTTGGCAGCCCCGGTAGAGAGGACCTGAGAGAGTATTTTATATAATTATACTGTCAGTGGTGCGGTGAGGATTAATTGTGGAAAGAGCGTCACCATGTATATCACTGTTTCTTTCGGAATTTTTTAAACTAAGAAACATGTTTCGAACTCCGTTCTGGCTTGGATTGGCTAAATTAAAATTGAAGAACGCACCAAGACTCAAAGCTATGCCGCCAGTAATCTCTTATTAGCTTTCTGTTTAGTGCTTGGGGGCACTCTAAGAATGGATAGGGTTTTGGCGGGATGAAGTTTGTTACTGGCCTGTAACGCGAAATTTTATGCTTTGCGTAAAGAAAATAAAATAAACTTTGGCGCATTAGGATAAACCCAGAACTTCTTAATTCACCACTAGTTTATGATTTATAGAGCAGAAAAGAAATTTTAATCTGGACTCGATCGCCTCCCCACCTGACTGATTAATAGTATCATATACTGATATTATTTTATGAAAAAAAACAAACTGTCAGGCAAAGTTGTCGCTTGGTTTTGTCCCTTTGGTACTTATGCTACGTGCTATTTATAATTTGGAGGAAGAAGCACTTTGGCATAACCCTACGAAGATGCCAGGTTTCGCATGTTTGACTATATTACTGTCAAAGTCTAAGTCATCAGACAAACAAACTTCCTGTCTTTTCATTCTGAACTCAGAAGTAATCTTCATTTCACCCATCCCACCCACAGGGGTCAGCGAAAAACAACTGTTAAGATACAAATTTAATTTTTAGCTTGAATTCGAGCCCTCGTAAAGAAATCCAAAGGTTTGCCGTATTCAGTCTTGGCTCTTTGATCTTCGCATGTTAGGTCTCTCTGTACCGTGGCATTGCTTTAGCAACTCAACTAATAAAACTAATTTAAACTTTTGGTGTCTCAATCCCCACCGAACTTAGGTATGAAATATTTATGCGTTCAGTTGGACAAGCTAGTTCGGCTAAGAAAGACCCTGGATTTTGGTCAAATTCTTTTTGTTGCGTTTTTATGGACCGAGACGAAGTCGACAGCAATCGACCAGCCCATGGCCATAAGTAGCCAGTTTAATTATGTTCACATCATATAGTACAACAAACAGAGGATCAAAAGAATAACACTGAATGAAAAGTTAATGGAGTGCTTTAGTTTGCTACTAATTGTTAGATACTCGGTTTCAGGGTCTTTCAATACGCCGGGCTATGTAATGACAGTGCCCGATAAATATTTCACACATTCCACGGCATCATTAAACGCCGACAGTTTAAAACAGGAAGTTGGTTAATCTAATCTAAAAGCTTCAGTTTTTTTTTTACATCGAAATAGCTCTGTGGTGTACGAGGTAGATGTACCAAATTTCTGCTAAGACTAAGTGCGGTGTATGAATATTTTCTACCCACCTTTATTACTGTCATTTGCCACAGAGAAGTTAGGCGGTTCATGACACTTGCCGCTACTCGAGTCCTCATCTGGAAGAACGTGACAGAAAGCTACTATAGAGTCAAACCAAGACTCAGGTATTCCTTTTACACACTGCTTCAGAAACTCGTTGCAAACTCGCTTGCATGGATAGACACGTTCTCCGTTGGAGCACTGTGGAAGAAAAAATGAGCACCTCATTGTCATAGCCAATACCTGACCTGACTGACCACTGTTCGAGCACGCATTTTTGAAGATATTGGCGATTCCTTTGGCTGCTCTTTGAAGTTTAACCCCAGATAAGACAGCGGGGAATTTAAAAGTTTCATTGTAACCTGCCACAGAGCAGAAACTAAAGGGGCTTTCAAGAAAGTTGTTGCACTGATCGCTAGCATGGCGAGCATGTCTTCGGCTTTTCGGAGCCAGCTGCGGGGAGTTGAGGTGTGCAAAGGTATCATTGCCGACGCAAAATAACAGAACGAAGAACCAAAGCGGAATGATCATGATCTGTAATCTGTCCAGCTTGTATTTTGGATCCAGTCTGTTCAACGTGCATTCAGTTCCAACCAAGTACTGTCAATAGTTTCTATATGTCGCTCAAATGACCTCAAGTTGCAAATTTAGTTGTTTTTAAAATCTGACATGCTACGCTGCGTCAGTTGTTTCTACACTGTAGTTGCGTCAACGATTTGCATGTTTTGACCTCATCCATTTTTTTTACGCTCTGAAGGTCAACATACTCGAGAAACGTCAAAATCTAAGATGTTGATTACGTAAGCCCGGTCTACTAGCCCACTTTGTAGAAGAGCTAATCGACACCCTCTGTAACAGACCCATTGAAACCCTACCCACTGGTTTAATTCAGCCTCCCGATACCCGGCGAATAGTTTTTTTCTACCCGGCTGATTTTTTGCTTCCCCAGTCACTTTCTATCATAACTTCTACAATTAATACCAGTGCATTTCGTCGTTCATATTTGTTTAAAAGAAGCAAAAATATAAAACACTATTACCATTGAATGACAAAAACAAAATACGGAGGGTACAGGTCTGATCAATCTCGCATTAAAAAAAAAATTGTAAATCATTTAATTCTTCTCGTTACTGCAATATGTAAAGAGTCTTTAAAAGGTGTTCAGAGTTGTCATGCCGGTAAAGATGTAAGGCCTACCACCCCTTTCCGCTTACAACTTAGTCTGCTACACAGCCGTTTTTAGTGTCGTCACGCAACGCTCCTCCCCCGCGTTGCGTGACGACACTAAAAACGGCTGTGTAGCAGACTACTTACAACTAAGAAGAAAAACCCAGTGGGAAATAAACCAACCGAGTGACGTTTTCTCCGAGAACCCAGTGAAGATGTAGATTCTACTGGGTCTGTTGCAGAGGGGTGTTAATCGATGGGAGACTCATCCCTGTCTAGATTGCTCGGATCATTCATGCTTTTTACAAAAGAGATTTAAAGCAGCGTGCATGAGCGGCGTGTTACCCGCTGTTCTGTTACTAGCTTGCAGGTTGGTTCGTAGGGCTACAGGTTCTTAGAAAGAATATTTCAATCCCGGTTAGTCGGAATCCCGGCGCTGCGGCCTATCTCCCTTTTCTTGAACGGTCGTTACCATTTTTAACGGTCTATACCACCATTGGTCGTAATGGATTTATCAATACGATAACAGTCTTAGAATAGTCTTAGGGACGTCGTTGAAACCCGAGTGGAATTAACGTTAAAAGTTCATGGAAAGGGCTTGTGTCCTAAAAAAGACAGCGATCGTTTAGGACAAAAAAATTTGCCCCGTGGCCGTGGTAATCCGGGCTAGTCCATTCCAACTTGATCGCTCCCAGGGTTTTCCTCTGCTCGTCCCAAAGAGGGCAAGAAAAACAGCAAGATTCGTTATGCAAATCATATATTCACTTGAGCCTTTGAGGTCAATATTCAACAACGGCACCTTTAAACAGATAGAGTCAACATGTAAAATAGAGCCAGTTGAGCCGTGATCAAGGTTGCGTCTTTACTATAAAATCGAAATCCGGCCGGATTTTTAATCGAAAACGGATATTTCGTTATTTGTATAGGTAATAGCATGATCTGTAGTGATATTTGGCATAAATACCACGAGTGATATTTTGAAATTTGAGACAATTTTGAACTATCAATAATAGTATCTATGCCAAATATAATATCACGTACAAATCATGCTATTATTTGTTTATACTACTACCAACAAAAGGTTTGTAATTTTCACATGTAGGTATTTCAAAATAAGCTGAAATACCACTGCTCTAAGCCAATCAAATTGCAGAAATTTCTCATGTAGTAGTATAATAACTAAAATCCAAAAACGGATTATTGAAACAAATGATCCACAAGGTCAAGGTGGACACTTTGGATTATGCTGTCCAAGACCGCGGGATACTTTGGATACAAGATCCAAGCGTTTCTTTACCACCAGCCTGGTCTGTTCAAGGCTTTCAGATAGGGATGGCGCGTGAGTAAAAGCTACGGGAAGGCACCTTGTAAACAAGGTGCATGATGGTGATTAATGCCAGGAGCCTGTCAGGCTCCTGTGATTGCAGGTGTTTCAGTTGCAGTGAGAAAAATAGCGGAATACCATTTTAGGGCGAAGACATATAAAATTTGATTATATATGCCATCCATATGCATAGAGTACGAATTAAGCATGACTATCAGTTGATTCAAAGTCCTCGGTCAAGTCCATTCAGATCATTTCTGTCGTAAGGAAATGGGAAAACAGTGGGATAAAATTTGGAGTGGATTTATGCACATTTTGTCCAGGTTCCAATTATCATCGAGTGCTTGCTAGCATGCAGGGGCAACCAACGACTGTTTTCTACTAAATAAAAGATCTGTTCGGAAACGCAAAAAGAGCCTAGAATTTTCTATTAGCTTGAGAACGGCTAAAAATTTCTAGATGACCATTACATTCAAGTGCAATTTTCGAAGCTTATCAAGAAATTCCCAACGATTTTCTGAAATTTAATTTTTTGCATTTCACTCCTCATGTTTAAGCTATTTTTCGTAGAAAAAGGAGACCTAACATTTTCGGATTCGAAAATATGATGGTGAGAGGGACCAGAAAAATGCTCACTTTCATAATATGTTAAACTGCATCCAAAATTTTTGGAAAAATAATAATGAAGCCCTTGTAATTTCTTTTTCTAATCAGTTCTATTTGAAGACTCAAGTTACCCTCGGATGACCGAACAGATACAAATTATATTTAATAGCGCCGCTTAGAATACATTTCTAGAGATCTAAACCGTGTTTTCAAAGGATTGAGGAGGGAACCGTGTTTGGGTGTCCCTGAACACACGCTCTAAAACGTGCTCCTCTTTGATTCGTCGATTTTGTCGCCGTGGCAACATAACCGACCTAATTGGTAACCGCGCAACGCGTTAAAGGAAAAAAATCAGCTGATTTAAAATCAGTATTTAAAAAGTAATAGCACGTGTAATGCCGGTTTTGTTCATGTTAGGGCAACCGCGGCGATGGAGATCAACGCCGTAGCAACAGCGTTACTTTCTGTGGTTTTCATTTACTTACCGATCGGAGTTTTCTCTAGTATCTGCTATCGTTTGAACCCTTTGTTGTTTGAAAGATGTGTAAATCTTGGCTACAACTACACTGCCAGTTTCCCTAATGATATCAACTTTCAGGAGAAGACTTTGGCTTATCAATTGGAACAAGATACAAGACTGTTCAAACAATGCTCTCGACATTTAGATATTATGTTGTGCGCTATTTATGTCCCTAAATGTGTTGAAGACGTTAACTTTCCCGTTCTGCCGTGTAGAGAAGTTTGTGAAGATTTTGTAAGAGACTGCGAAGCGGAAGTCGTCTATGAAAAAATCGAATGGATTAAAGGCCTATGCCGACTCTTGCCTTCGATTCGAAAAGACAGGAAGTGCCTTAGACCGGCGAATTATAAACCTCGCGACAACACAACGGGTAAGTAAAATTGATTTTTTTACAGTAAAAACATTGTCACGTTTCAGTGACTCGAGTTATATTGTGTTAATAAAATTCGTGTTGCTGACTAACGCTGACTGAAGACGATAACAGATAACGATCGATATCAAGCACCTGACTGTACGGTGAAAACTGGCCAAATCAAATTTGAATTCGAAAGCAGTTTAAGCACGTACGTGGAATAATAAAGGGATTATATCCAAGATCAACATCTTCGTTGCAATTATTTTTTAAATTTTAGTTTGTCCGAATAAATATATCGCCGTGTTATAAACTCCTGAGTTGATCCCACGTCGCTCCAGTTACAAGCCGCATGCAAATTTTTCAGAGGAATCGTTTCCTTTTCATTCTAAAATTAGCAAGGAACAATTCGCCGTACAAGTGGCACCTTTTTAAAACAATAATGGCACTTTCATGACTAATGCGTCTGCATTCATATTGCTCAAATTAAGGCTGTTTTCTAGTAAGAAGTTTGTATTTGGCTTTTAACAGGTGTTTATAGTGTTGGACAATTGTCGAAAGATTTGTACGCTGGTAGAATAATAATATAAAAATTAACTTAACTAAAACAATTTGACAACAAATCCTACATGTCACTTTTTTTTAACTATATAAAGGCTATTTTAAGATTGGAAATTGATCCATGATAATTTACTCAGTTCAGTTACAAGATGGGCGTTAAATTTTATGCCGTTATAGCTACCAAAAGGAGTTCAAAAAAATATTTGTTGAAAAAAATTCTTTTCAAACCAAAAAATAAAAAATGAAAGCTTCTACAAATTTTCAAAATGGTATGAAAACAGAACAGAAAAAAAAAACTGTCACATGAAACTCTTAGCGGAAAAATATATTTCTCCCGGCTAACACCTGTTGAGGAGGGGAGCTAGGTACACTAAATAAACAGCTGTTTCGCCAACCAGTCGTCGACGGCAAACGGTTTCCTAAATAAACCATAAAACTAAACTAAAACTGAAAATACTGTAATTTAAAGAAACTCTGATATATCAGGTTATTTAAAAAAAAAGAAAAGGAAAGAAAAATGAACTTTAAAAGAAAAATTTGTACAAGAAATGACAAGATAAAACGTGTGTATGTCTTGCTCTTGATGCACAATAGACCTTGTAACGGTTTTGGAAGCCATATTGACGAGTAGGCAACCGCGTGAGAAATTGCAGTGTCTGTATGAGAATCTAATGTCAAATAATTTCCACAAAACGGTTGACGGTTCAAAAAAACATGAATTGTAAACCTAAGCTTCACACTCCTAAGGACTTTACTAAAAAAAGTTTGAGGGCGTTACATGCAGCTACATACGCAAGAACAACTTTCTAAAATTGTCGATACATTTGTCTGCAAAAATGTTTCTTCCTGCCCACTAAAATTCCCGGAAGAATTGCAGACAAATATGTGGAAAATCTAAAACAAGCGTCTGGAGAAATTTCAGCACAGGTTCGGCCCCAAATCCTTTGCTGTGTATTTGAAATTAGATTCTCAGGTACAAACACTCACGCGCTTGCCGACTCGTCAAGATGGCTTCCAAAACCGTGACAAGGTCTAAAGGCAGCTGCTTTAGGTCCGAAGCTCTCAAGTTTACTCAACAGCCCAAAGAAATCGCAAGGGGACGTTATCTTTACAAACACTAAAATTAAATGAATCCGACCATGTTCTGTTCCTACCATAATGGAAAATACCGGAATTTTTTTAGTATTTTGAAATAATTATGAGAATTTTATTTTTCTTATTCCCCTATCGCCTCGAAAAACAGGTAAATTCACGTAGATTTTCCGAACACGCCACCTGTTGGTCATAATGCGAAAACACGTGATACGCTACATTGAAAAGTCCTGATTAGAGCCCTGTCTAAACATATCTAGATTTTTTTTTTTTGGCCTAGTCCCTGTACGGCATTTACCCAGTATCTCTAGGTCAATTCACTTCGGTGGCGTATCCAGGGCGAACGGGCGGGACCTCGTGAGCCGAAACGCTTTGGCCGCGCGGAATAATGAGGCCTAGGGACTACGCAAGATATCTTTTAACCGACAGATTTTTCTTTGCGGATTCAAAAATTTCCACGTCCACACGTATCTTAACTGTACACACGTTATAAGACTTGAAACTGAAGTCCAAGAAGTAAAGAAGCGATAACCTCATGAACATTGCGCTTGGCACTGTCTTGTGTATTCACGGTTGAGGGATTTAGCCTAACTTGTCCGCGTCAAAAATGGACAAAAACCGTGAAAAGCTCTATTGGGTGGCACTTGACCTCTGCAAAACAAAACAAAATACTGCTACCATTTTCGGTAGTCCTTCCTGCGGTATGGCAAAAACCTCACCCTCAACTTGCTTGATTAGATCACTTTAAGTTACGTGTTGGCTAGCTACGTTCACACGGCAACGACCGAATTTTCGACCGGTTGACACGGAATTGTTCACCGCAGCATGTTCACACGGAACCACCTGAACGGAACAAAAGTTTAGACGCCTAGTCGTTCAAAGTTCATTGTAAACAGAGCAAAAATATTGAACGGTCCCAAGTGACCTAGGTGTCCGTCAAATTATTTAGCTGGTTAAAAATTCGTCCAGAAACTTATCAAGATTCATAAGTTAGGAGGTCCGCTTACGGAACCACGCAAAGCGTATAAAAAAATTTCGGCGCCTAGCCGCTCAAGATGTGCACCCCAAAAACGAGGTCAAATGTTTAACCGGTACGGTCGAAAATTTGTCCAGTGTAAGCAGCACTGATAGCCGTCTAAGGCGTGTCTGCATGTATGCGTGGCAACTCAGCTAGCAGCTGAGAGAGGTGTCTGCGTGGGAGGCTAGCTAGAAGATGCCATTGTGGAATTGCTAAAGTAGCGCTTTGCGCATGGGCAGACGGTAAAACTATTGGAGAAAATTCAACCTGGTTCGTTATTTATGTTTGAACAAAACGAAAATATTGAACGTTTCCATGTGAACAAAGTATCTGGTGTCGAAGTATCGTATTGAACAGTTCCATTTCAACGAAGTGTGCAGTCAAATAATCCATCCTGTCGAACTGATTCGTCCGGTGATATGTGAACGGAGTCTAAAATCCACGAAAAACCGGGGAGCATGAAATAATGAAGGAAAAAAGAATAAAACGTCGAAGTGTTCAGGGGCTCAAAAGCGGTCATTATGAGCTGGGTGAACGATTTGATTCCAAGGGCCTTTACGCTGTACACGATACGTTAATACAAGATGCTCGGGTGGTGCCCGCTTTATATAATTCAGTTTATAAGTCAAAGAAGAAGGATTGGAAAAAGAAGACGTTTCTCGTCTCGAGCTCATAGAGACCAGACAATCTAAAAGTTATGAAGTAACGAAATTTGACGGTTCATTTAAGTGGCACCGATAGTATGAGTATGACGAGATGTTTCAAAACCAATGCTGTGCATGTTGAAAAAAATATCTCGAAAATTCACCTCGGGCAAACAGCCTGAATTCTGGACTTGTTTGTTTACTTGGCGAGGTCCCAAGTAAGAGCATCGCATCTAGTAAAAAACCCTTAATTCCTATTAAAACTATTTAGTTTGAAGGTTAACTTGAATTGTTTACTTTTTTTTCTCCCGAAGCTCCCATTCTTCAGAACTGTGCCAAGCTGCGTATGTCATCATGTTCTCATCTCGGCTACACACACACCACACAATCAAGTGACCTACAATTTATTCTAAACAATGTGCTCAAAGGAAAAAACTTTGGAAATCACTCTACGTGTTCGTCGACTATTAAAAATATTCTCTGCGCGGAGTTCGCTCCGCCATGCTTCCCCGAGCACAAAGAGAAAATAGTACTCCACACGGTATGCAAGTCCGATTGTGAAAACGCGCGAAAAGAATGCCCCGAGTTATATAGCAAGCATTTTAGTGAACACAGCTTCTGTGAGCTAATGGCAACAGAAAAGAGTGATTTGGAAGGATTTTGTAAGCTTACAAAATGGCCGACTGCCGTACGGTGGCCGACACACCCAAATCTCACGGGTAAGTAGAAGTAATGGCTGTGCATGACAAGGTTAGTCTGCTACGACTGCTACACAACCGTTTTTAGTGTCATCACGCAAGGCTCCTCCCCAGAAGCGTTGCGTGACGACGACACTAAAACTGTGTAGCAGACCATGCCATGTTGGGATTACCTTTTTAACAGCATGCGTGGCAAAAACAAAAAACTGGATGGGGGGAGGGGGAGAGAGGTGCGAACTTCCTTACTCCCCTTCGCCCATCCCTTTGGACGCCTGCAACACAGGCTGCCTTTTAGACTCTATGCCTTCTCGATATTGATGCATGCGCAAGTTTCCTGACTACCACGCCGCTTTACTGAATCAAAATTCGAATGACATTTCAACCCTTTTTGAGGGTTTGGGGGGGGGGACGAGTCAGTGCATCAGGAATGTTGTCGATCGCATCATGTAATTTCAGCCTGAAACCTTACTATGCATCGCATCCCTGATTTATATAATTTTATTCTTAATTCTCTTAATTATTCAGAAGCACCAACTCTCCACTCTTCAAAACCCACAACCTCTTCGTCTTCCTCCAGACCTTCCTCACCAGACTCACCTTCGACCCAGTCATCCGTGAATTTTCCCAATTCGGTTCCTCCCAGTCCCAACGTCCCTTTGCACGCCAAAGCGTCCACGCCAGTTGTCGTCACTTCCGTGTGTACGGTTATTCTTGTGATGACTGTCATCGGCATCATATTTTTACTCATGCTGAGAAAGCGGCGTCGATGTTATCAAGGCTGGTCAGTGAGAGGATATCGTGAACAGTTAAACGAGTTAGAGACTACGGTCTCCTTAAGAACGTAAAATTTCGAACAATATTTCATCATCTAGGAGTTTTATTAATGAGATTGTCTACTACTCACCTTCTGATCACATACCTGGCAAGCTCTCAAGCGAAAATCACGGTTTGCCAAAGAATCGGACGCAGATACAGGAAACAACTCTTAAAAAAAAAAGTTGGTACCCTTAACCTTATGTGGGGATTACTGAAAACTGCAACGAGGTTTGAATACTTGACCGTAAAGAGACTGATGAACACTGATCATAGATTCAAATTCAAGAGTGGAATGAATGAATGAAGGAACGACGGAACGGTGGATGTATAACTGGGGAGAGAGATAAATAGATGAATGAAATATGAAAGAAAGACAAGAGCTATATCGAAAATAAGTAAATGATTGTCAATAGAAAGAAGTAATAGACCTTATTCACGATACCCACCATCTTTGCACGCGCTCTAGGATTGATGGGATAAAAGAAATGTCTCGCGGTATTTCAGGGGGCAAACAAGTGATAAAATGTCTCAATACGAGTTATCGCGGTCGAGTTTGTTTATCCTCTCAAAACGATAAGGTAATTTGACATTTGCAAAATATTCAGTTCAATTTTAGACTAGTTTCACGTCATTATTGCTTGCTGTGAGGACATCTACCGTCCCTACTGCATTAAAAAAATGTAACAACGATCACGTCCACCCATAATTTGCCATTATTGTCTTTAAGATAAAACGTTCTTCGTTTTTTGTTGCCAAAAATAAAAAAAATGCAAGCGCGATTTCTTGTATTGGCAGATTTTATCGCTTGTTTGCCCCCTAGGAAACCACGTGACAAGACATTTATCCCACCAGTCCTTATGTGCGTGCAAATATAGCGGGTATCGTGAATGGGGTCTATATATTACCTCTACATGAGCAGGTCTCATTGATAAACATTATTCTCTGAAGGAGGGTTTTTTACTCGCTTGGGAATAAATATTGTGTTGAATGAATTATGAACGACAATAAATGTTTTAAAGTAATATGGATTCGATTTTTTTTTAAAATAATTTGCCCCCAGTTGAACTGCTCCAGCGGAAATTGTATAGAGCCGAGTCTTTGGATGGAGGTGAATAAATGTGAGTTAAAAGGTCTTAAAAGATTCAGAAGCGGTTCAAATCATGAGGGTCAGATACGAGCAATATTTTAATCACGTTGTTCTCCGTTTGTTCACCGAGCTTATTAAAGCTGATTATAATCCAAAGTTTCGTCCCGGTATCAAAAACCCCAGACAAAGTAACCCAGATATCAAGGACGGTTCGCTTTTAATGGCCAAAAATGTAAACATTCTGTGTTGGGCTCTATTTCAAGATGCTCTCCTCGAACTTTCTACGTGTGGCAAGTGACTTACTGAGCATGTTTACATGGAGGTGGGGGACCCCAGATAGGTGTGGTAACATGCGGCGGGTCACCCTACCTATCATGTAACGGTGATCGAATCAGAAAATAAGATATTATATTGAGAGGCGGGTTACCTCTCCTACCTGGGGTCTCCAACCTCCTCTTGTCGCCCGCAAAACGCAGATTCCTTGAATACAATGATATTATACTTTCTCGTCGATTTCAAAACTGGCGAAAGCAGAGTTTTTGAAAGGTCACAATTTCCGGCTCATTGAGTAAACATTATTTTTTATGCCGCTTTGTATCGGACTCTTCGCACCTTACTTACAAATGTGTTGTGAAATGCAGTACTGAGCAGGGGGTTGAACTTGTGAGAGCTTAAAGGTGTGAGTGGAAAAGCACCAAAGGGCAATCAACATTTCACTAAACTGTTTATTTGTATTAAAAACAGTCACGCAGCAAAGCTCAGAAACTTCTAATCAGTTCTCTAGTTACGTCAGATCTCTAGCTACGTAACCTAAGCAAAACATTTTCTAGTCTTCTGATTGGCACGAACAAGTTTTGTTCTACGTAGTAAAGAATTTAATCCATAAGCCATTCATTTAATGTCTCCAGTTACTTCTCTTGTGTCTCTATGGGAATGCATTCCAAGGGTAATCGTACATGGCCAGCAGCTCATTCTCCTACTGTGCCGCATTCCCAACTGACTTACAACGGACCCACAGTTCATGTCATCTCCTCAATGCGCCATTTATTAGAACTGATTTATACGGTTTCCGTTATTTGCAATAGTTGATGATTCTACTTTTCGATTTGAGGCATACCTCATCATCTGCGTCTCGAGGGCAAGTGCTTCCAACGTAAACCACAGCACTCTGCAACTGGCCGAGAAGAGTTTTTAGTATAACTGCACGTTCTTATAGTAGGCACCTGAATGTCCTCTTCCATACTGCGACCACCAAGGACCTTAATAGGGGCACCCAACCTACTGTTTTCCGTAAAATATCTGTTCGTAGAAGCAAATATTGCCTAGAACTTTTTGTTACTTAAGGACGGCTAAAATTTCTTGACGCCGGCTCCATTCATGTACAAATTTCCAATAATTTAATAAATTCCTCATGTTTTTCTTAAGTTTAATTTTTCATATTTTACTCCCCAGGTTTGGCTTTTTTCCTTTGAAAAAAGGAAACCCTAAAAGTTTCGGGTTCTAAAATGTCATGGAGAGAGGAATCAGAATCAAATTATTACTTTGAGTTCGTAATACGTTAAACTGCATCCAAACTGTTCGGGAAAATAATACTAAAGCCCTTGCAATTATGAAAAGACTCAAGTTCCCCCCTAGGATGACCGAACAGATACAAATTTTATAGCGCCACTTGTAATTCATTTTTAGAGAAATAAAAGTATGCTGGATAACCTAAAAAGGGTTTTCAATGGAAATTGCCCTCAAATAAAAAGTAAAACAAAGCAAAAACAGTAAATTTCCTTCCAACTATAAGGCTAACCCAATTGGATTTTGAAACGCAAATTTCCCTCCTAGATAAGCCCTTCCGAATATAAGCCCCTCGGCAAAAATAAGCCCCTCAAAAAGGGCATTTGAAAAATATAAGCCCCGGGGCTTATTTTCGGAATTTAACGGTATCATATCTGAGTTCAAATTTCTCACTAACCCTGGGTTATATCTTAAACCCAGCTTCGCAAACAACCGGCCGTCAGGTTACGTTGTTTCAGTGCTGATTTGCATAGTTATTGTTTGTTGTAACAAAAGAAGGGCACTATAACTTGTGGGAATTGTTCTTGTTTTTAAGAATCTTTGAAACAATATCAACGAATATAAACAGAAGAAACGAATCAACATTTTGTCGATTACGTGATCTATCTCTTACCGATTTGTTGCGCAAATCTTTCCCTCACCGATTTGTTTCGATCAAAGGGACTAAAGTCTATTGGTTTGTGTTTAAACCCCGAAAACAGAAATAGTCAAACACAGCACGGTTTTTGTCATTTCCAGCCCGTATAATTAAATTATGCTAAATTAAATAACTTGATTGTTGTTGTCCGGATACATTCGTTAATATCCCTATAGGATATGAACCTGGATACGCGCAAGGGTTTCATTCAGATGGCGCTGATCGGCATATTGCCGAACAAAGTAGCAATCTGAACTATAGTTGGAAACCGCACCAATAATGATACTGGAAAGCTCCGGTTCGTTGAAGAGTTGTCTTGCAGTTAATCGTTGCGATCGTTAATTGATCTATCTTTTTTATTCTCGACCGTAGCGATCCTATATCAGGAAAGAGGCTTTATCAGAATCAAGACTGTATCTTTTTAGGTGCAAGAACATCTTAAATTGTTTAAGCGGCCAGCCAGCAAGAAACATATTCTATATTTCTTAAAATTTCATTGTCCCCCATTTTATCTCATTCAATTGCAAATTACTACTAAATAAACCGAGTATCACAGAAACAAAAGGCACTATCCAATCAGTTTCATCAGATTTGATGACGTCAATCCTTCCTGATTGGCTGATACCTCCCCTATTAATCTTTGTCTATATATTTGCGATACCACCCGGATGGTTTGGGCGGATCAGTAAAGCACTGCACAGTATAACAACACAACAGCATCTCAACAGGACACTTCAACACAACACCTCCACCTTTCAAAACTTAATCCATATTCAATCAACTAATCTTTAACCGTAGTAGATTAACAACATTGAACCCTTGAATTCCAATGACTGCTTCTCCACGCTTCGCGCCTCGTGGATTCGATTGCCCTCGCTCAGAGCTGCAGAATATAAGTAATTGAAGCTATTCATCTGTTCTATTGTAATGTCAGTGTAAATACTTGGTCTCTTTGAGAAGCTGAGCGACAGCTAAACAAATGAACAAATGAACATCTCATTTACTACAGTCAAAGACAGAAACAGAAAGTTAACCGAACAAAACACGATGGTCGGTTGCTAGGGCTTTTGCTCCCGTTTGGTTCTTAAATTCAATTTCTGGCTTGCAGAGGGGTAGTTTATATTTCAAATGAGGCAAAACATTACAACATCTTAATTGGGGAAAAGTTTTCTTTAAATTTTTACAATTGTAAAGGTATTTTTGACTTTTCTTGAAAGTATGACGTCATAAGTGACACCTATTTTTAGTAACAACGTTAAAAATTTGATAAGCAGTGTTCAAAATGCTACAAACATTTTTGTTACAGAAAAACAATATTTACAGTGAAAACCCCATCTCAATCGGATAAAATGGCGTGAAGTTACAGGTAATTAAGGAAATTCAAATTTCCCGCCTCATGACCATATATGGTCAAACTTTAGGGGTATTTTAACGCGAAAACAATGAATGTATTTACAACGGAAAAAAGACAAAGCTGCATAAAATCAAAATTGTAGTTTTTTGAATTCGGCATATGTGGTGCTATGACGCGTATTTCGCAACAAATTACGTCATTATGACGTCAAAATGACGTAATTCGTGACGAAATACGCGTCATAGACCACACATCCTAAACTCAAAAAACTACAATTTTGTTTTTATGCAAATTTGTCTTTTCTCCGTTGCGACTACCTTCATTGTTTTCGCGTTAAAATACCCCTAAAGTTTGACCATATATGGTCATTTGGCGGGAAATTTGAATTTCTTTAATTAAATGTAACTTTGCGCCTTTTCATCCGATTGAGATGGGGTTTTCACCAGAAATCATAGAATTCTATACAGAAAACAAATGTAAAATTTTTAGCATTTCTTTCCTGAATTTTCTTGCTGATGCCAAATTTGGACATCATTTATGACGTCACAATAGAAGTCACATGGGATGAAATAAACACCAATAAATAGGTAATTTATCAACTTACTTCCTTGCCAAGTTCTGTTACATTCGATGCATTTTACTTCTCTCCATGGCCTTAAACTCTCAGTTTTGAGAGGTATGGGAGCAAAAGCCCTAGCAACCGACCACCGTGAAATAAACAATGTAAAAACGCAAACAAATGGCCGGCCGCAACATAAATCATTGATAAATCCACCATGCTGTAAAAAGTACATATCAAAACATTCAGTCGTCCTTCGAATTGAATGTCCGTACTTTTTAAATCTAAATTGGTCTGGAATCGTTCTTAAAAATATATTCTTCTTCCTCTGTTCTGAAAAAACTCAAAATAACTGCTAGGTGGGCATCAATCAGAATCGAAGGCATTAGTTGATTTTCACAAGCCCATTTTCCTCTTATACCCAGGACTTGACTTCTGAAATTAGTCAGTTCATCCTTATCTTGGCTTAAATGTTAGCAGAGAAATTAACCTTTTTTCCGATCGCGAGGTGCACCGTCGGCGTAGACAAAAGAAGACAGCCGCGTCAGTGTCACATCGACTGACACAGGGCTTGGCTTCTGGGAAGTTAGTCAGTTTACCAGTGGAAAATGCAAAAATAAATAAATAAATAAATAAGCAATAAATGAAATTATAATAATAAATGTTAAATAAATAAACAATAAATAAATAAACAATGAAATTATAATAATAAATGTTAAATAAATATTTTTAATAAATAAATAAACAATAAATAAATAAACAATGAAATTATAATAATAAATGTTAAATAAATATTTTTAATCATTTATTTATCCACACCGGCATGAAACCTTGTGTTGACCTTTTATATTTTAGCTCTGACGAGCATGTCCTTTAGGGATTTTCCTTCTTGTAGGAAATGATTGGTGGTTCTTTAAAAATTTGGTAAAGTAACGGTTGGTTTTGTATAATATTCCATTTTTTCATTAAAACTTCTTTTAAAGTAGACACTGAGGGCTGGTACTGTGTCATGAAAGGCAATATTTCTTTTTCCTCTATGTTGCTGTGTTTAAGGAGTTCAGACCCTCTCTCTGTGAACTTAATATCTGATAGAAGGTTTTCAATCAAAGCCTCTGTCAATCAAGCGTTTTTTGAAATTTGAAATATTTTCCTCAAACGTAGTTTTTGAGGAGTTCGTTTGTAGGATTCTCAAAGCTTCTCCTTTGAAAAATCCTTTTTAAACACTCGGCGGGTGACAAGAGGTGAAATGTGTGTACTGGAAGGTTTCCGTTTTTTTTAAAATGTGTCTTTTCATCAAGGATAGATTTTTCCTTGAATCTAGTACCTTTGTATACAACCGTGTCTAAAAAAACAGTCTCGGTGTCAGATATTTCGGCCGTGAATTTGATAGTTGGGTGATGCAAGTTTGCTCGTTCGATGTCCGTTGTTTTATTGTACCATGCATCATGGCTTTCTTCCAATTTGACCATCATTGGCTTTGCGATACCTGGAGGTTGCTTTGTTCTCGTACAAGCCACGGATCCGCCATTTGGATTGGCCTTGAAGCTACCGTATTAAACTAAATGTCAACTAAGTTAGCTTCTTTTCCAACACCTTCGTTCCTCGAAACAAAAATAACTTGCGGCTTTTCTAAGAAATAACCCCACATACGGAACCAAATAAGCACTGGGCCGGGATCGAGAATATAACAATCCTACCTAAGTGAATATTTTGTTCTCGCAACGGGGTCACTGAATTCGCCCGGGTGTTCCAAAATGTCAAAAGCCTCAGTCAGTATCTTAACAATGTCCTCTTGTCTAGTAATGTTGAAAACCAAAGAATTTCACTCCGCTTAGTATTTCCTTCGCTTACTATATTTCCACGTCCACGTGTCGTGCCTACAGTGCTTTTGTAACAGTGTAAGTCACATGACCAGGAGACAAAAGGTTAACGCATTAGCCAATAAAAGTTTGGATCGTCATTTACATACAACATAAACCCCACGAAAAAACCTGGTGAGGTCTTATAAAAGCTGTACGGCAGCTCAGTTGACTGACCTATGATTAGCCAAACGTTTGGTGGTTGTCTTTCACACAACAGAGTCCTAAAGTTCTTCCGGTTTTTATTATTATCAAGCTACACTTAAACTTCAAGTGATACGTGTCTAAGAGACTCCTAACATGGTTAAATACAATATGCCAATGAAACATTTACAGTTTGGTTGCGGCGCATCGCCGTTCTTGCATTCTTCCGGTTTTTCCAAGAAACAAAAAGGTTCAAATCTAAATATGCATGACACCCGAGACCGACACTAACGCGTGCTTAAATCAGTCAAATGAGGAGATCATTTAAATAAGCTAAGCCCTCAAAGAGAGCTTCTCTCTATTTAATAATAAAGAGCAGCAACGCCATCTTGATAGAAAACGCGTTTTTTTTTTTCGGCTCTTTCGCGTGCCGCTTGCGCGTGACTTCTCACGATATCCCTCAAATGGAGAGCTTGCTTGCAGGCTACGCCATCACTGCACTACAAATGTCTCCAAATGTATGGACTATTTAAAAGAGTACTATTTGTAATATAGATAGAAAAGACCATCCTAAAGATCTCCCCGGGCTGGGAAAACATAGAATTCTTCACTTGCCTTAAACTACTTTATAGACTTCTTGGAAATACCACAGTAACCTTTCCGCTGAGTTACGAGATACTGGAAGCGAATGGCAAGTTGAAAGTGAGCGCATTCGTTGCTCATCACAAGCAACTCATGCCCATGCATCGCAAAAGGTGGATTGCATACAACTCATACAATGAAACGGTAAAATATTTTCTCTTCAACACTGAATCACAAACGAGTGAGCAGGTGGTTAGTGACGAAAGGGTTTTCAACTCTGGGCCAGTAGGAAATGACGTTCTTCCGGTATTTCTGAGAAATAGTCCACTGCAATTGAACAGTAGACTTGAAACTAAAATTTGTCATAAACTTATGCGATATCTGTGAAGTTTTTTAAGATAAACTTAACATAACAACGATCACAATCCTTTAAAACGATATTTCACTTTCTCGTCGATTTGGCGAAAGTATAGTTGAAAGAAGTTGGATTCTCTACCTTAAAAATACAGGAATAAATTATAAAAATGTATTCTTCAGGCACTTTCTCAGACTGGTCACTGTTGTAATACTTACCTACCATATTGTTGTAGAAATAAAATGAGGTACACCGTAATTTTTAGGGAGTTATTATAACTCCAAAAATGGAGTAAAAATTTTAGGTACAGGATAACCCCTTTTTTGGGGGTGTTTTAACTCCTAATTTAACTCCGAATTTGGGGTCATTTTTACTCCTGAAAAAGAGTTCTTTTTACTCCCAGTCTGGAGTTAAAATTACTCCGAAATGGGGTTACTTGTACTCCTTACATGGGTTGTTTTTACTCTTTTTGGAGTTAATTTAACTCTGAAAGTGGAGTAAAAATTTTAGGTACAGGATAACTCCTTTTTTGGGGTTATTTTAACTCCTCAATATCTGGGGTCACTTTTACTCCTGAAAAAGAGTTCTTTAAACTCCTTTTTGGAGTTAAAATAACTCCACGAAAAATAACTCCACTGTNTTTTAACTCCTAATTTAACTCCGAATTTGGGGTCATTTTTACTCCTGAAAAAGAGTTCTTTTTACTCCCAGTCTTGGAGTTAAAATTACTCCGAAATGGGGTTATTTGTACTCCTTACAGGGGTGGTTTTTACTCTTTTTGGAGTTAATTTAACTCTGAAAGTGGAGTAAAAATTTTAGGTACAGGATAACTCCTTTTTTGGGGTTATTTTAACTCCTCAATATCTGGGGTCACTTTTACTCCTGAAAAAGAGTTCTTTTAACTCCTTTTTGGAGTTAAAATAACTCCACGAAAAATAACTCCACTGTAAGGAGTTAAATTAGCCCCACTAGAGGAGTTATTATAACTCCCTGAAAATTACAGTGTAGTTTGAATGTGTGTACCCTTACGGGGTAACATCCGTGGTAAAGCCCAAAATTGCTATCAACCATCACTTGACTGTATATCTATATAATTTTAAAACATTTTCAGCCAGCAAACAAGTTTTAGTCCTCTTCTGCTTGTGGTTCTACATGACACAGGCATTTACTAAAAGTGTAAGGATATCAGCAAATTTTAAGCAAATAAATTGGAATTTCTGTATCTCTTTTTGGATTAATCGGACAAGACGGTGCTAAATAATGACCACTAGAGGGCGTTTTATCAATATACTACTCAGACTAAACAGCAACTGTTTCAGGCTCAGTCAATGCGTGGCTTTAGAGACAATATTTTTCGGTATGAATAATATGCGTGCTGCAATTAGTAACCACGCCGACGACAATGCCCAAACGAAAATGTCAGAAAACAAAAACTGAACTGCGGCAGGTAAAATCAGCATAATTCTTGTGAGTGCTTTACATTTTTAAACTAAGTATAATTATGTACGTAAAGAAGAAATGAAATTAAACATTTATGGCATATTGAACTAGACACCTGTTTAGTTTCTAACTAGAGGGAAGTCAGTTCTTGTAATTATACATCGAATATCTTTAAAGCATTCTAGTCTACGGCAAAGCTTTCCGCTTGCGGAAAACATTTCTCATAGACCATAGAATGCTAAAATGAGGTCAACAAGTCTATTGATAGTTCACTGTTTAGTTCACTGCGGTTGTCTGCTCTTCCTACGGTAGTATAGCTCTCAAGCCATTGTTCCTTATATTCCAAGCGTAATTATACTTTTCCAGCAGTTCGTTCTCCTGAGTTTTAGCATCCTCCTCGTCGTTGGCTACCTTGTAACGGACGTCCAATTTATATCCTCTTCTTAATGCGTCATTTATCAAAGCTGTTTTTTGGTTACCGGTCGAGCAGTAGCCAAGAATTCTGTTCTGCAACCTATGGAATGGTCCACGACGGCCGCGGGTACATGTACTTTCAACATAGACAACTCGCTTTGGCTGGCCCTGTCGAATAGTTCGCCATTCATAAATTCCACAGAGATCACTGGGTATGGTACCTTCCTCCAATATACTTTTCCAAATGAATCCTTCTTGATTTCTCCCACGGTTTTTGGTGTATCCATTTGTTACCACGGGTACCATGGCTTTCTTCCAATTTGACCATTCTTGGCTTTGCGGTGGCCGGAGTTTGCTTTTTTCGCGTTCAAGCCTCGGACCCGCCATTTGGAGTGGCCTTGAAGCTACCGTATTAAACTAAATGTGATAAACTAAGTCAGCTTGTTCCCACACCTTTGTTCGTCGTAACAATGTAAGTCATGTGACCACAACAGAAGGGTTACAATAACCAATCATACTACGCCAGCAGTGTCATTTATGTATTTTATAACGTCGTAAAAATAACTTGCGGCTTTTCTAAGAAATAATCCCAAATCTCGTACCAAATAAGCACTAGCGTCGAGAATAAAACAGTCCTAAGTGAATTTTTTGTTCTCGCAACGGGTGTACCGAATTCGCCCGGGTGTTCTACAATGTCGAAAGCCTCAGTCAGTATCTTGAGAATGTCCTCTTGTCTAGTAATGTTGAAAACGAAAGAAGTTCACTCAGCTTGGTATTTCCTTCGCTTAGTATATTTCCACGTCAACGTGTCGTGCTTAGATACCCTGCGAACAGAGGCCCTTCGATCTTCCTAGATAAGTCGGGAAGAGCCGAAGGGACCTCTGCCAGCCGCCTCGACTTTCTTTGATTTGCCGCTCATCCACCGAAACGGATGAGTAAGTCCGGTTTGAAACCAGTTTTTTCCGTTTTGGCACAGTGCGCATGTGCTTTCCTAGAAATTGCTGACTAAATGCACGCCCACAGTACACCTCATACACTTGTACCGCCACCGAAATGATCCCCACCATCGAAATGATCTCCGCCACCGAAATGACCCCCAATCACCACCGAAATGATCCCCACCACCAAAGTGCTCCCGATTCTCAATCGAAATGATCCCGTCTTAAATTTTCGGAACCTTGGCTTAAATGGACTCGGGACTTTGCTACCTATTATAAATTCTTTGTTTATTCATGCAAACACGATTCTAAACAGAGGAAAATAGAGAAAGCAATTAGACTGGTAACAGTTCTATACACTGATTAAGAAGATTAATTTTCTTGCAAAAATATAAAAAGAAATTCGAAGAAATAGAAGACATAAGTGAAATGCATCTTTTGAACAAGTATTGTCTAGTGTTAAACCAAAAAAAACAAAGAAACAATTTACTGCAAAATAAAGCGCGGTAAAAAGGTAAATTACACACCGTAAAAAAGATGCAATATAAATAAATAAAAAGCACGCTCTAAATTGTTGTCCAGTTTTTGTAGTCCTCTTAATTCCATTCCCGATATTCCGGGGATCATTTCGGTGGTGACCGCCGGTATCATTTCGGTGGTGGGGATCATTTCGGTGGTGATTGGGGGTCATTTCGGTGGCGGAGATCATTTCGATGGTGGGGATCATTTCGGTGGCGGTACAAGACTTGTGAGATTCAAAACAATGGCGGAGGTTTCTGACATTTTTCTTTCGAAAGACGTATTTGAGAAAGCAGTGAAAAATGCATTGGGAAGAGTGAATACAAGTGGAATATGCAATCTCTCACAACACCAGTCGAAGGCCTTGTTTAATTTAGTGTGTGGTAAAGATTCTTTTGTCTGTTTGCCAACCGGCCATGGCAAATCGCTAATTTACCAACTCTGTCCCGTTGTTGTCAAAGAACTTTCTAGCATTGGATTGAAACAGTTCCAGAGCGACCCGTTAGTTGTTATTGTCTCTCCGCTAAATTCTCTCATCGAGGATCAAATAGGATCCTGTGGAAAAATGGGCTTGAAAGCGTGCAAAGTGGACTCGGAAAGCCTCGAAAAGCTGAAGGACTCCTGCGACTTTGAAATTTTGTATGCAAGCCCCGAGATATTTGACGATCAAGAAGCCAGATCGCTACTTCAGCAGTACAGCGCTAGACTCGTTGGAATTGTTATCGACGAATCTCACTGTATCGTGCATTGGTAAGATTTTAAATTTTGAAAGTTATTTTTTTCCTATTCGCTCCATACTAACTTGTTATGATTCTCTCTCGTGCACGTGTTTCTCGAGTGGGGTCTTCTCTCTTAGAATTGACATCTGCACGGTCGATCTCTAACGTATTGATATTATTACGTTTTATTTCTGTTACCATAAAGCCTGAACAGATATGTGAATAAAAGGTGGCTTTGCACAATCAGATAGCGTTGATTATTCACCTGATTGTTATTTACAAACTAGACTTTAAGTATATCTGTTGTCAGAATATCCTCATAACAACCTTTCTAATTTTAGGGGAACTGGCAACAAGAGAGAGCAACCCTTCAGGGAATCTTATGGCAGGCTAGGTCACCTCAGAGTTTTTACCAAGGCACCATTTCTGTGCATGACTGCCACAGCGAGCCTAAAAATAAGAAGCAAGATTATAAAACTGCTCAACATGAGAAACCCCAAGGTAATAAGGCAATCACCAGACAAGAAAAATATCTCTTACCATGTTGAAAAGGCAAAAGAATTGGATGAAACTTTTAAGTGGATTTTGGATTTGTTTTCTTCCTGCATCGCAGAAATTCTGAAAACAATTATTTACTGTAGATCATTAAAGGACTGTGGAGAGATCTACTCATTGTTTGACAAGATAGCTACCCATTCTGAAGCACCAGTTGTCTCCATGTATCATAGTAAGACGCCAGAACAAATTAAGCAAAAAGTACTCTCATCTCTCTTGGAAGAGGATGGTGACTGCCGCATTGTTATCGCAACAAGTGCTCTTGGGATGGGTGTGAATATTCCCAATATCCGACAGATCATTCATTATGGTGCTCCATCTGATTTGGAAAGTTATGTGCAAGAAGTTGGTCGTGGTGGTAGAGATGGACAGCCTTGCAAGGCAATACTGTATTACCGGCCATTCCATCTTGCTCATTGTGATGAGCACATGAGAAATTATTTAAAAAACACAGACAAAAAGTGCAGGAGGGATCTTCTGATGAAATATTTTAAGGAGAAACCTAACAAGCCAAATGTCAAGCATGACTGTTGTGATGTTTGCCTAGCGGCCTGCATATGCTGCTTGTGTAACGCTCTTGAAAAGCCATCTGATGTGACACCACCAAATGAGACTGTTGAAATGGCAACTGTGGTTCGGCAGGTGCAGGAAGAGGACAGAGAATTTCTCTATGAAATGCTTAAAGACATAAAAATTAATACAGAATCATCTGCCTCTGTGCTGGGTAGTGCTGGACTTGTTTTTGAACTTGGTGAGCAGGTTATAGAGGCTATTGTAAGTAAGTGCGAATATGTATTTTCAGTATCTTTTATCATGGACAACTTTCCTATTTTCAGTGAAGAAGTGGCAAATGAAATTTTGATTATCTTTGATGAAATATTCAATGACATTGACGAGGCCGAGTTTCTTTCTAGTATGGACCAAAGTGTTATAGATGACATGTCTTTCCTTGATGTTGACGAACAAGCATCTGGATGTAGCGATGGTGATACCTATCGTAGTGACTGTTTTACAATGCATTAGGGTGATTTACTTTAAGATTTACTATTACACTCCATAAACTGCCTTGGACATGTGTTTTATAGTATTTATTGTTTTATAAAAGGGCATTTTAACACTTCAGCTGGCTGTGCAATGTTGTGTCAGGTAAACAGTTTTGTCACTAGTACATATATACACCTTCATCCAAAATGTCATGATTTTTAAAATATTTTGGCCCTGATGCCTTTCAAGCTCAAACTTGTTTTCAATTTTGCAAGTGAAATCAAGACAAAGCAGGCTAATTAACAAGAATACAAAAGGAAGATCCAAGGGCCTCTGCTCGCAGGGTAGTGCTTACAGTGACATTTACATACAACATAAACCCCACGAATGAACCTGGTGAGGTCTTATGAAAGCTTTACGACGGCTCAGTTTCACATATCTATGATTAGCCGAACGTTTGGGTGGTTGTCTTTCACACAACAGAGTCCTAAAGTTCTTCCGGTTTTTATTCTTATCAAGCCAGGGGCGGATCTAGGGGAAGGGTGCAGGGGGTTGCGCACCCCCCACCCCCTGAGATGACCTGCGGTTTTCTAATACAACTGGTATTCTGCAAAAAATAACTATGTGGTTTATTGGTGTTGAAGTAGAGCAAGAGACGAGTGCACCCCCTCCTAAAAAAATCCTGGATCCGCCCCTGCAAGCTACACTTAAACATCAAGTGATACGTGTCTAAGAGACTCCTAACATGGTTAAATACAATTTGCCAATGAAAAATTTACAGTTTGGTTGCGGCACATCGCCGTTCTTGTATTCTTCCGGTTTTTCTAAGAAACTAAAAGATTCAAATCTAAATATGTATGACGCCCGAGACCAACACTAACGCGTGCTTAAATCAGTCAAATGAGAAGCTCATTTAAGGTGGCTCCCTAGAGTATTTACTATTAGTAAAGTGCAGCTAGTGATCTATCATCAATGCTGCATTCTGATTGGTTGAGCTACCACTAGGCTATATGTTATAGCTCACTGGTAGCGAAAAGTGCCTGCTTTCACAACCAAAACAATGGCGGCTGAATCGCGTTTTGCTAGCTAAAGTTGTTTTTTCTCGATATTTTTGACCAACTAGTTGGATTTTACTAAAACAATTATTCCTCTCGCCCGAATGGCCTCTGAGTCAATAGCCTATTCAGCCTTCGGCCTCATGGGCTATTGACTCAGAGCCCATTCGGGCTCGGGGAATAATTGTTAAATACTAGCTATCTAGCATACGTTACGGAACGAAACTGATCTAGTTATTTTGTCTTTGCAATTGTTCACGAGATTCACCGCTAAGGCATAAGAAGGCTCCTTCATCAAGTTTCATTTTCTGGATTAAGGCCGTTGCCATGGCAACATCCCCCTCGGTGAAATGTCTTTAAACTTTTCCACTTTATATAAACGATATAGCTTAACATTTTAGACTGGAAAAAACATGGGGTCGTTAAGACGGTTTTGCCAATATTTTAAAATTTGTAATTTTTCTTAATTGAGGAATTAGCTCTTACAGATTTTAACAAAGAAGGACAGTACAAAGGTACTAAAACTGTTTAGAAATGAGGCGATTTTTAGAAAAATTTACCGAAGGAAACGCGAGAAATTCACGGCTAATTAACTAAGTTGGCGTCACAAAAATCCGGAAAACACGCGTGGTTCGGGGTCGTATGAGCAAAATACGCGCGCGAGGCATCACGCCCGCATGCGCATAATGCACAAAGCTACTGAAAACATGTGGTTTCTTTGAAAAGTACGGAAGCCATTGTTTTGAAGCCGTTTATTAGTATTATTAAGGTAATATCTCGCCAGTTGAAAAAGGAGAGATAGCGGATTCAATTTTATATCTAACCCAGGATGTTTTTTTCGCAGTACTTGACTATTCTAGCTAAAATTCGAACCGTGGTGGTCACTCGTGAGGATGGCGATCGTCGGAGATGAAGACGGTGGCTTATTTCCAGATGAATCCTTCTTATTTCGATTCTTGTTTCTGCCAGCGGCTTACAGTGTTTGTTCCGTCATACTGGCGGTACAATGGCTGTCTTCCAAGCTGACCAATTTTGGCTTTGTGAAGACTGAAGTTTGCTGCCTTCTCTTAACTTTTTATTTCTTTGAGCTTGAGCCATCTGAGTGTAAAATCTCTCGAAGCTCTGTCAGTTTGTTAAATATGGTATCTGTTGTATTTGTCGCTCAGCAAGCCAAGCTAAGCCAGAACCCAAGTCAACGTGTCGCGTCCCTTCAAAACCTTTTTTGTAACAAGGTAAGTCATGTGACCATGAGTCAGAGGGTTTATACATTAGCCAATTAATCAAAGTTTGCATTGTCATTAACATAACTATTATGAATTCTTGCGGCTTTTCTAAGAAACTACCCCACCTAAATGAAGACTTTTCTAGAAAGAACGTGAGATTTTTGGCGGCTCAATTTTGTCCTATCAATATATTGTCCTCCAAACAACGGAACAGAGCCTTACGTTTTTATTAATTCATGATGTCCATTTGCACTAAAAGGTTTCATATCAATTGCAATCTGTTCCATGTGTCTATTAGAGACCCTATCCTCCGTGGAAGGCGTTGGTTAGTTTTATTGGTTCGTTTTTATAGAGCGCGCGTTTTTATACAACATCTCGTGCGCCCGCGCGCGTCTTCGAAATATCTCCCTCCGCCCTATAAGTTGCAGCAAGGTTTTGGAGGGCGCTTAGCCTCGCCGCCCTTACTTTTCTCTGCTTTTTTAGTAGATTTGACACAGCTTTAGTTGAGGTCTTGATGATCAAAGCCAGAGCTGGTCTAAAAGAAGTTCTTAAACGTAAAAATGTAATATTACAAGTTATAGCGATTGATATGCCATTTGTTGACTACTCAGTTCAGTTTTTATCCTTAGTCTCTTGGCCCCAACAATTCCGTAATGCTGCGATATTTCTTGCCTAGGCTTTAGCCACCATATTATTCCTTTTGTTCCTAATCATAATCATTCAACAGCTCATTCATAATCCCGTTTTGCTTGAGTCAAGGAGGACAAAGGGGTTTTCTCCAAAGCAATCTATTGTTGAACACTGAATCATTGAGGGGTGAGCGACAAAGAGAATTTCAATTCTGGGAACGGCAAATGACGTTCTTCCGGTATTTCTTAGAATATTCCGCTGCAATTCAACGGTAGATTTGAGCTATAAACTGTCGTAAATGCGATATCTACAAAGTTTAGTTGAAGACATCAACTTAAAATAAAAACGACTAGAATCCTAAGACATGATATTAAACTTTCTCGTCGATTGAAAACTGGCAAAAGTAGTTTTAAAAAGTTGGAGTCCATCACTTTACTGTATATATCTAAACATTTTAATAGTCCTCTTCTGCATTTCTGCGTCTACATGACATAAGTATTTACTAAGTATAAGAATGTTAGCAAGTATTGGGTATATTGGAACTTGTGTCCCCATCTATCTTTGATTGACTGTAATCGGACACGATTTTTTAAAGGGTGTAGCGCTGACGATTAGTGGCTGCAGTTAAAAGTACTCAGATTAAACGGTCACTGATATCGTGCTCAGTCTATACGTAAGTTAAGCTATAAAAGTTTTCATGTACTACTGGATATGGTTTGGCAAAAAAATAAACACTTTTCTGCTCAATGGCGAATTAAGTCCATGGGATCATTGGATGTCTCCGTTTACCGCTTTAGTGTCGATCAGGCAGTGTCACCATATCATAGGACGGCCCTTGTGTTGCCGTTTCTTCTAACATTCCAAGCGTAATCATACATGTCAAGCAGCTCATTCTCCAGTTCTCTAGCTTGCTGTTCATTCCAAGCCTGCTTATAACGGACCTCCAGTGTATATCCTCTTGTTAATGCGCGATTTATCAGGGTTGCTTTATGATTACCATGACGGCAGTACCCAAGGATTCTGCTTTGCAGTGGTTCATAATTGCCACAACGTGTGCACGTGCTTCCAACGTAGACGACTCGATTTGGCTGGTCCTGTCGAGTAGCTCGCCATTCATAAATTCCACAGAGTTCCTGTAAATTGCCGTCGTTCAGTATATGTCCCCATATGAATCCTACTTGGTTCTGGTGGCGGTTTACAGTGTTTGCTCCACCGTACAATGGCGGAACGATGGCTCTCTTCCATGCCGACCAATTTTGGCTTTGTGGAAACTGAAGATTGCTGTTTTCTCTTACCCTTCTTTGAGCTTGAGCCATTCTGAGTGTAGAGTCTCTTGAAGCTCTGTCAGTCTGTTAAATATGATATCTTGTCGTCCCTTCAATACCTTTATGCAATAAAGTAAGTCATGTGACAATGAGTCAGGGGGTTTACACATTAGCCAGTCAAAAATTGCATTGTCATTAATTACATAACAATTATGGACTCTTACGGTTTTTCCAAGAAATAATACCGCCTAGAGGGGGGCGTAAGGGTTTGCGGTATTGCGGTATTGCGTTATTTTTGGTGCGGTGTTGCGGTAATTTTTATTTCAAAGTAAGGTATCGCGGTTTTCAGAGACCAGGCGGTGTGCGGTGAGTTTAAATTTGATGTCGCGGTAGTCGGTGAAAAAATCGTTGTGTCGCGGTGATCTGCTTCTTTTTCATGCCAAGAGGATACAAATCCTGAAAGGTCTCCCTAGCTAGCCTGCGTCACCTGCGTGTCTTCCTATAGTTGCACAGTCGGGGATCGTATGATGCGCAAACAGTCCAGACAAATCGTATGGCTCGTAACAGTTAATACTTGATATGATTAACGACATCAACTTTTTTGACCTTTTTTATCCAATGATACGTAAACATGTCGCATTATTTATGACCTCATGGACTTTGTGGGAATAATCAGCTTGGTTAACCTCCTTACCAATCTTACCGCCACTTTCGTGCCAGTCGCGAAACAATGGCAAGCGATCCAGAGGGTCAACTAAGTGATAAGTGAATATAAGTCAGATATTCCAGCAAATAGTGAGGTCAGTGAGGTCGTTATAAATTGCGTAGTGTCGAAAGATAATCTTATGAAGATGGTGTGGTCTAAAGTTTACTACTCGTCCTTCTCGTTGTGCATGCAGAAATATAGAATGAACAAGTATTCCTGTGTGCTTAGCTTACGTAGCATGGCAGCCAGGGCCGGAAGGGGGGGGGAGGTTTCTTCCTTATAAGAGGCTAGTGGGGATGTGCCGCTAGATGGGGTCGCATTTTCACGAGTGGATTGACTATAAAGGGGTCGCATTTTCAAGAGAGTTACTAGAATGGGGTCGCACATTTTCTGATTTTGGGGGGTAAGACAGTTCTTCATATTTACGGTTAGCAAACGTACCAGAATGTTTGTACTGTAGATGAAAAGTAAACTGTTCTTCATTCTGTCTTGAAAAATGGTCAATTCAAAAAAATAGAAAGTGACTAAGCTGGGATCGCGAAAATTAAATATTTTTCCGAAAGAGACTAAGATGGGGTCTATAATTGGCCACAGAATAGACTATAATGGGGTAAGGGGCTCTGAGAGGCCAGCAGCACATACCCAGCAAAAAATTAACCCAGGTACCCCCGTTGTATCATTTACGTAAACGTATACATGTAATGAACAAAATTAAACGGGTGCGATGATCTTATGTTATCGCACGCTTGACTTCGACGCACCTTGACTTGGAAACACTGACGTAAAATTATTATTTCTATTTGAAGGGAGGATTTGTAGTATTGACAACGTCAACTTTTTCCCATTTGTAACTGCGGTTTCGGTATTTGGCTAAATTTTGATGCGGTATTGCGGTATTCTCGCGCTACCATGTGCGGTATTGCGGTATTCGTGCCCCCCTTACGCCCCCCTCCGCCTAAATGAGTCATTTTTCTAGAAAGAAGCTGAGATTTTTGGCGCCTCAGTTTGGTCCTATTAATACCTTGTGCTCCAAACTACGGAACAGAGTCCTTGCTTTTTTATTAATACATCATGCCTCATTTGAATTTAAAGGTTTCAAATCACTTGCAATCTGTTATATGTGTCTATTGAAGACCCTATCCTGCGTGGAAGCCGTTGCTTAGTTTTATTGTTTTGTTTTTATAGAGCGCGCGAAGGGGACATGAAGGGGAGAGGAGGCCTCTCCTTTTCTGCTCTCGTGCGCGGGCGCATCTTCGAAATTTCTCCTTCAACCCTATAACTGGCAGCAAGGTTTCGGAGGGTTTAGGGCGCTTAGCTTCGCCGTCCTAACTTTTTTCTGGCTTGTTTAATAGATTTAATTGACACAGCTTTAAAGCCAGAGCTGGTCTAAAAGAAGTTAAACGTAAAAATGTAATATAACACGTTGTAGCAGTTTATATATCATTTGTTGGCTACCTCAGCTTAGATCCTTAGTGTCAATTAGCGTCTTGGCCTCAACGTCGTAATGGTCATATTTTATATTATCCCGTTTATTCCAAACATAATTATTCAGTAGCTTATTCATAATCCCGTTTTGCTCGGGGCAAGGAGGACAAAGGAGTTTTTTCCAAGTAATCTATTGTTGAACGCTGAATCATTGAGGGGTGAGTGACAAAGGTAATTTTAATTCTGGGAACGGCAAATGACGTTCTTCCGGTATTTCGTAGAATTATTCGCTTCCCTTAGTTCAACGGTAGATTTGAGCTAAAAAATGTCGTAAATGCGATATCTGCAAAGTTTAGTTGAAGACATCAACTTAAAACCAAAACGACTAGAATCCTAAGACACGATATTAAACTTTCTCGTCGATTAAAAACGGGCAAAAGTAGTTTTAAAAATTAAAAGTTGGAATCCATCACTTTACTGTATAAATCTAAACATTTTAATAGTCCTCTTCTGCATTTCTGCGCCTACATGACATAAGTATTTACTAAGTATAAAAATGGTAGCAAGTAATGGGTCTATTGGAACTTGTGTCCCCATCTATCTTTGATTGACTGTAATCGGACACGGTGTAGCGCTGACGATTAGTGGCTTCAGTTAAAAGTACTCAGATTAAACGGTCACTGATATCGTGCTCAGTCTATACGTAAGCTAAGCTATAAAAGTTTTCATGTACTACTGGATATGGTTTGGCACAAAAATAAACACTTTTCTGTTCAATGGCGAATTAAGTCCATGGGATAATTGGATTTTACCGTTTACCGCTTTAGTGTCGATCAGGCAGTGTCACCATAGGACGGCCCTTATGTTGCCGTTATTTCTAACATTCCAAGCGTAATCATACATGGCGAGCAGCGTATTTTCCCAGGCTTGAGCTTCCTCTGCACTCCCAGCCTGCTTATAACGGACCCACAGCTCATATCCTCTGCTCAATGCGTCATTTATTAGATCTGCTTTATGGTTTCCGTGTCTGCAGTAGTTGATTATCCTGTTGTTCAATCTACGGCATTGTCCGCCATCTGCTTGGCGTCGGCAGGTGCTTCCAACGAAAACTACTGCACTCTGTAGGTGATGGGGAAGAGTTCCTCTAACCTGAAACTCATAGATTCCACAGAGTCCTACCACTCCGTTTAACTCATTTCTGATGTTTGACCACATGTAGCCTACTTGGCCTGGTCCGCGATTCTCAGTATATCCACTACTCATAGGCACCATTGCTTTCCTCCATTGTGACCACGGACCTTGGCCTTGAAACGGTACGAGATTATTAGTTTCTCTAAATGGCTTTGATTGAAACATACCGTCTGCGTGAGTAAAGGGCTGCAAAGAATTCGTTGGAATGAAGCGTTATACAATGGTTCGCCAAAGAACTTCTGCAAGGACAGTGGTCTGTGTTTAGCAGGAGCAGCGAATATTAGGCTGATCCAATGACTTTTTTTTGCAATGTTATGGGTTGAAACAGAATATTAACTTACGTATGTGATTTGCAGCGGGAGATTCATATACCACGCCACAACTTGCTATTGGCTTTCCATGCCACGTGAAAAATTAGTTTACACGTAATTAGCCAATCAAAATGTTTGTGGTTTCTTAAGATTAAACGGTAATATTCTGAGAACTTGCGGTTTTTCTAAGAAATAGCACTTTAGTTTTAAATGCGAAATTACATACTAGCAATGAGTTCCTTACATTGACATAAAATGCAAACTGAGTAGAACGATTTTACTAGTCAATGCCAGGCTTAATATTAAGGCTCTTCAGAACTTCGATTCCTAAAAATACAAGAATGTGACTGGAACATCGCGGTGCAAATCATCAGTGGACGTTTTCTTGGCCTTAGTGACGTGTTACGCATGGATATAAAGTCGGGTTCAATTGAAGTGTCGTCAATAAAGCGAAAAAAGTAACGTTTTTGCTTTCTTAGAAATCCCGGAAGGTATTATATATACTTTAACGCCTTTTTTGTGCAATCATCCTTGTTGAAGCTCATATAGGACAGCCGATAGGGCATGCGCAACGTCTAGTGAAATTTTTTCACACACTTTGCAAGTAAAGTTGTCTCAGCAGCGCAGTCAGCCTTAGATCAAACCTTTCTTAACATTGACGACGTTTCTGATTGGTTCATTTCCCCCGGCTAATGCTTCAAATTCATAACCAAGCCAAGTAGGTTGAGCATATATTGGTGGAGTTTCCAATATCTCGTAACATGACGTCAATTGAACAGGGTACCGCCAAAAAAAAGGACGATAACCGAGAAGCCTTGGGGACGAGGCTTAGCTAAGTTGTTTTTGGTAGAGCTGGAGAAGGTTGACATTTTTACACTTTTTTGGAAGAAGAAATAGCCAACCTTCTACCCAAAAACATAGCAACAACAGCAAAAATTAAATACTACTCAATGGATTACAAATGTTATTTGAAAAAATGTCTGCTGCACTAAACACTCCTTTATATCCTGAATTTGCCTTCGAACAGAGAGATAACAATAGGAACTTCAAACGAGGAAAGCAATGTTTAAAGTATAAATCATTTGTGAATGAATAATAAAGCAATTATTGGATTCTGCTTTCGTGGAGATCTGAAGAATTCTACAGATCATGCTCAGCTTCATCCAATAATTGCAAATTATTCTTTGCCTCAAGAAATACGACGCACAAAGCCAAAAGCTAAGGGACCGATCACTATTTTTTCCCCGTTGAGGAAGAGGCTGGCGATTTTATTTTTGAGCCGGTAATCCTATTACTACTTCAATAGAGTTCAAAAGAACTTGGACACGGTGGAAAAGCTCTTCCAAGTGATTGTTCTCAGGACGACTCTACTACTAATGAGAAGTTTTGGATCGGTTGATACCTTCATTCCTCCACTCCCCCCCACCCCCGACAATGTTGTGACCCTAGACAAACCCATTTCCACCCATTTTGCGCAATATAATGTTCAACATTGTTTGGGGTAGGTCACCAGCTTTACTATTATCACTTGGAAAGTTCCAATACTCTTGGCCACCATTGTTGGCCTGGGCCGGCACAGGAAACCATACACTGGTAGGCAAGAATTCTTTTGAACGTCTGCTACTGAAGACTACGAGTAGTCCCCCATTTTTCCTCAGGGATAGTAGAGCGAGCAAAACTCGATCGCGCATGAAAATCACCCCACCCGTGTCGCCTTCTCTCGCGTGGGGTGATTTTCACGCGCGCTCGCGTTTCGCTCGCTCTACTATCCCCGAGGTAAAATGGGGGACTACTCGTAGTCTACTACTACTGTATCTCCGTGATCCATATTTCCCCAGATTTTTTTTAATGTACATGTCCAAGGAGGGTACTCCCTATAAGGGCCTATACGGGAGTGTTCCGCCCGAAAGGGGTACCTTTATCAGGCATGAATGGGTAGGGGTTTCACTAGTTGAAGTATATGAAAGGGCATGCAAAGAAATCTGTCATTGCTGTCAGTGAAAGGACCTGTAAGGCTAACAGGCGCATTATTTGTATGGCTGTCAAACTGAGACATGAAAACTCTCTGGCTTGGTGATTTATTTATCACGGTGCATTAACAGTACACTCTAGTTAAAATGGGTGCAGCGTTCTAAACTAGTATATGAAAGAGGTCATTAAGGGGTATCTTGAAAGGGATACTTTTTTTGCCAAAAAGGCCCGGCGTTTCCAATCGATGGAAATCGATGATCGGAAAACCAATCGATCAATCGATATCAATCGATAAAATTAGTCAATTGGTATCGATTGGTAGCGATCAATCGATGATCAATCGATAACCACACAAAAACAGTTCATCGATTGCTATCGACCTCAAACAGACGTCACGCACGCTACCTGTCCGATTATCCGCCATTTTTAGGAAGCGCTGGGGACGAAATAGACGATCTTCGTATTCCCCGACGGCCCTGGGACGAGGGACTTCACAGCATGATTGCGAGGCTAAAGCGGGGAACTTTTTGGCAAACATACATTGGTTAGTCGCGGCTGAATCGCTGCAAAACGATAGAAATCAGCAAAAAACTGCAAGATTTAAAAGCTGAAACCTTACGGGTAAGCTAAAGGGATATATGTTTCAAAAAACAAAACTGTGAGAAGAGCTGGTCGTACTAACAGCAACATTTAAAAAGCCACGAAGCCAAAAGAAGAAACAAGAAGTAATCAAGAAAATGGTATGTTGTGTCAAAATGTCAATACTCGAATCCTTTTTGTACAATTTTATTCTTCTTATTATTCTTTTTCTGTTGTGTGCATCTGTAGTGCGGAGTTTAAACTGCTCAATATTATCGTCTATACCAAACTCTGTGTTCAACTGCGTGCACGTTTTTGTACTTTCACACAGTTGTTATCGAAGATAATGTAACTTAAATTTAAAAATAAACTTTACCTAGTCATCTTTGTTTAAACTGGTTTAATTTCTTTAAAATGCGCAAGGACTGTGTGCAGAACGCTAAGCCCCGTCCTGATAAGTAATTATCCACTGAATGAGTCGTTTGGTTTACTTCAAATACACAAGATTTTGCATCCGCTCTGTTTGAAAATTTCAACTGCAAAGTAGGTGTGATAACATCACTGTTAGCTTTATCGCAGGCTTTCGATAATTACGTCCATTTCAATAAAAGGTATGCTTCAAAAAGTTTAAAGGACACTGAAAATCACAATTAAAATGGCTTCGGGGATTTTGAGAACATCTCTGTTTACATTAAATTATAAACTCGCTCACCATTAGCACTCTTCTCATCAATATAATTATGATTAGGATCGCTGTTTTTCTTAGTAATAGTGAGCAGATCTTCCTTTGTTGTTTGAAATAATGATCTCTCTCAAGTGTGTAAGCCCTTCAGAACTAATTATGCGAATGTTTAGACAATCAACCAATCAAAATCACTACCCGGTTTTCGGGTAGTGAGTGACGTCACTGGACAGCATTAACGGCCGGTCGATTCAGACGTTGTTGAAAGGAGAAAACGACTCGAAGCAATCGGATGAATTTCAGGCTACTGAAGAAGGTATGGAGTTAACTGTACATAAGGAAAGTGTTGTTGTAGAGGAAATAAAGGAAGTGGAACTGAGATCTCGTGGTGCGCATTTATTTATGACAGAAATTAAAGTCGAATTGGACCACGCGGTCATGCACCTGGCAGACTTCCGGTGAAGAAGTTAACACGTCTGTTACACAAAATGAGAAAAGTAAGGGTATTTGTATGGAAAGGTATCCGGAAAAATATCATTTCTTACTATTCCCCCGCATTCACAATTATCACAACCATGAAGCCGAAGTGTAAGCTCCCATAACGTCTTGTTTGATTTAAACACCGGCAAGTCTTTTGATACGTCAAGAGTATTTGCACAACACCGAATGAGAAAAAAAGGACTATGAAGTTTCACATTCGGTGCTTGAATAAGGATCCTAATTCCTAAATGGGACTCAATTCACTTATTTTCCTAACCCGGCTTATAATCATTGAACTTGAGAAAAATGTGCTGTTTGGTGTTCAGCAAAAATTTCTCATCCTGAATCCTATACTGACGCAGGGGAGGGGAGACGGGAAACGTAATTTGATCCGTCTTCTATTGTCTTATCTCTGCACTGGAAGCAGCGCTCTTTTTTTGATTAAGGTTCGCCGTAGGCTGCCTACTCACCTAATAACACTTTTTGTAGGTTAGAGAATCTCACAATCCACTTAATTATCGGCTAACATATGTATTCACGAATACGTTAATGTTCTTCCTAAGTTTACTCGTGTGCACTCGCTCAGAAATAAAATGTCGATTACACGAGGAGCAGAATTTGGTGAATCTATTCACTCTAAATCATGTTCAAAGATAATTCCTAACCATATATATTCAGTGATTAAAACACAGCTGCTATTACACCCAAAACATTCACAAACAAACACTGAAGCCATTCTTATCGTATCATCTTTCTACTGTCCTCTAAAAAAAGAAAGGAAAATAAACAGGTGGAGGAAAGTTCCTTTAGAGTTACTTTCTCACAGCCTTTAGTTGGCCTCTTATATCTTCGTACACCATATGACCACGTATCAGATTGGCAATAGTCTTATACCACGTTTTCCGCCATTGCGCCTCTTATTCCAAGCGTAATCATACATGTCAAGTAGCTCATTCTCAAGGTTTCTGGTTTGTGGCTCATTGCAAGCCTGCTTATAACGGACCTCCAGTGTATATCCTTTTGTTAACGCGTCATTTATCAGGTCTGCTTTATGATTACCATGACTGCAATACCCAAGGATTCTGCTTTGCAGGGGTTCATAATGGCCACAACGTGTGCACGTGCTTCCAACACAGACGACT